CGAAAATAATTTTGTTGTTTTGAATTTAGCCTAACTTTTTAAATGTAACTAAACATAATTGTTACTTTGAAGTCACTGGTTTAATTACAATGGAAGAAGGGGAATTTTTGTAAAATACATGCATCTTGGGCGCCTGGGTAGCTCAGTTGTTAAGCGTCTGCCTTTGGCTCAGGTCATGATCCCAGGGTCCTGGGATCGAGCCCTGCATCAGGCTCCCTGCTCAGTGGGAAGCCTGCTTCTCCCTCTCCCGCTCCCCCTGCTTGTGTTCTGGCTCTCACTGTTTCTCTCTCTCTGTCAAATAAATAAATAAAATCTTGGGGCACCTGGGTGGCTCAGTCATTAAGCGTCTGCCTTCAGCTCAGGTCATGATCCTAGGGTCCTGGGATCGAGCCCCACATCGGGCTCCCTGCTCCACGGGAAGCCTGCTTCTCCCTCTCCCTCTCCCCCTACTTGTGTTCCCTCTCTCGCTGTCTCTCTCTCTGTCAAAGAAATATAAATAAATAAATAAATAAATAAATAAATAAATAAATTCTTTAAAAAATAATAAAACATATGCATCTTATACTCCTATGAAAAAGGAATACACCCAGTTTTGACAATCTAATAAATGTCTTTGATAGACTTTCATCCAAAGTACGAATTCAATACTATAAAAGTAATATTTTTGGCAATACTTCCTCTTGGTGTGCTAAGATTGTACATACATTTCCTTTCTTTTGAGATTTTAATTTGTTTAGATTTCTGCCATGCTTGTTCCATTTCCTTAAAATAATACCCAAATCATATACATTATAGACCTACATGTATAGAACCACATGTATAAAAATATAAGGTGGGATTATAGAGTAATATGACTTATTTTCTTGTGTGACAAGAAAGGAAAAACAGGGTTTTGAAGTTTAAATAGCAACCAACTGAAGCTGAATAAACCAACTGAAGTTTATAAAGCTCTCAGCACAAAGGAAAGCCTGACTTACTTTCTCTTTTTTTTCCAAAATACCCCTTGGATTTCTAGATGGCATCCCATTAAACACCACTAAGCTTTGTCAAAATACAGGATCTTCAAGGGTACCTCAAAATAATAAAAAGATGTACGCTTGTTGCAGGTTGTCTAATAAATGCATAGAACATTGTTCCCTTCAGATTTACACTGAAGAAAGAAAATTTTTTATACATATTAAAAAGAAATTCAAGAGGAAAAATTTTTCTTTAATATTTTCATGGAAATCCCAGTGAATCTCATAGGGGACAGGCAAAAGTACAAACAAGGATATATGTTAATAAATGCACCCCCCTCCCAGGGTGTTCTGTTTTGTTCTAAGAGGGGGAATCTTACGGCATTTTCTTTTCCTAAGTGGAAAAACATTATTTAAAAGAAATTAAAACAGAAAGCATGGTCAATAAATGAAGCATTCAAAGATTTTCACGAAGTGGTTTGAAAATAAATGCTATTATATTAAGAGACTTCCAACAAATCTGACCACATAAAAAAAGTAAAACAACAAATCTACAATAGGTACAAATTATATACATTTATTTTTTTAATAATTTTAAATAACACTCTTGTATAAATTCTTTTCATATATTCAAATCATACACAAATTTAGAAATGCATCATGAAGCCTAGTACAGCGTATGTAGGAGACACGTTTTTTTAAAAATTTGTGTTAGAATTTTAGGGACATACAGACAAGTTCAATGTTTCAGAAACATTCCCTAATCACTCGGGCTGACAGGTAATGCAGGACAGAGTGCTTGTACCTAGCGTGAGAACTCAGCTGCAGATCCTTCGGCTCTGGACTACCGTGGCTCGCGTCGTCGCCCCGGCTGCAGTGATTGCATATGCAGAAGTAACACGTAAGGGAGGCTCCCGTCTGCCTTGGAAAAAACATCCTTCAACCACTGCCATTTTAACGATCCATAACCTTCAGTCCATTTGACATTTTTGACGTCTTGAACCGGTGTGTTCTTCCCGCTTTTTCCCTCGGCATGGTCACTGGCTCAGGGTTAAAGAGGAAAATTGCCACTAACCTTCTGTCACTCCCCTGCACACACCAAACTCCTGTTAGTTCCCAAACCCCATACTGTCCAAGAAGATCATAATGGATCATAAGGCCAGAAATGCTTTCCTTGCTCTAACAGGTTACACTGGGTCGCTTTTTACTTCTCTGAACTTTTTGTTGGAGAGCTTTCCTTGAGATGCATATATCTTGAGCTCCTATCCACATACCTCAAAGTATAAGAACCAGGGAATGTTCATTACAAGTGCTGTTACGTTCACCGTGTGTCCTACAAAAAACAGAGGACCATGGTGAATGATCTAATAACCCCGTCCCAACTGAGGCTCTTAGGAACACGTACTATTGCTTTAGCTCTCTGCTTCCAAAACAGCACGAGAAGGGCTAAATGTCCGGAAGGCACTCGCTGACCAAAATGAACTAGCGGGGCAGTGAGTATTGCTTTAATGACCAATTTTCTGGGGGACATTAGGGCTAGAGAACAGCCTTATAATCTGACACTGTACAAATCCTCTCCCCCCAGATCTCTCTCCTCCCATCCCACATCTGCTCTGTTCTCTCTTAAAATGCAGGTACCCCTCAGAGTAGTAACACATCAAATCCATAGGACCTTAGTATAAGTGAGCTTTAGTTTTTATTACCATTTTTCCCTATACCTGGAGAAATTCCATTAATAAGAGACATCTGGGAGATTGACGGTGCAGGGAAGGAGGGGAAAATAAGGGAGGACAGACATAGTTAACAACAGTACCTAGGGTATCTGTCAGAAATGCATCAGGGCTTATGAAAATGAATGAATGAAGATACAATTATCACTTAATAGCAGTATCTGTCATTTATCAATAAGATTCACACTAGCCTTATTTGAAAATAAACACATTTCTAATCCTTATTTAAAAATTCTTCCCATATTATCTTTCTAAAGGACTGATGAGATCCCAGTGCTGAATGCCATGGTTCATAGGGATCCTGCCTTCAGAGGAATGAATATTGTGTAATGCATATTCCCTCTAGTTTCCTAGTCTGATTTCGCTGGTAGATCACTTCATGATTGATTTAAATTCTAGAGCAAAATTATTTCCCCCAGCAAAAAGCAGGGGGCACTAAAGAATATTGTTGAAAACAAATTCTAAGACCTTAATTTTTTTTTCCGCTGGGAAGAATTAAGAACATGACCTAAGAGCTGTTAATCAGTACTTAGAGGTTAATGTTCCTTGTGATTCAATGTATGCAATATCTCTTAAGGTCTGTTTCAAAAAATATATGGCCAGAATCTGGACGATTTGGCTTTGGCTCTTAGACCCCGACAAACACTCATGCTTTCTCTATTGAGTTAACTTCTACTTAACGAATGTTTCTTCTTCACCACCTTCAATCCATCACGTTGAGGGGATGGCAATCTGGGAGAAAGGCAGGTGTGTCAGTTTGCACACTTCCTTGGAACTGTGCAGTGTCCGGTCTGTACGTGCAAAGGTGGCAGCTGTGGGGAAAGCACATTTTCCCTCCCCGCTTGGGAGGATTCGTTCCCTTTAATGAAGCACAAACTGGTGGTTTTGTTTTCTTATCACCAATACTAGCTTCAGATAGTAATCCTCCTGTGTCCTTTCCACAAACTCCTTCCCAGCTGTATGGTCCTGGACCGTACCTTGTACTTACAGAAGTTAGAAACAGTCCCAGACAGGACTCTTCCTCCCAGCCTTCTTGGTCTGGGGCTAGGCAGTTTCTGCATTAGCATATAGTGAGAGAACATGTGCTTCAATTAGGAGGCCTGATTCCAAGCCTAATAATGACATATTGTAGAGCCTTGAACAAGACATTTAACCTCATCTATAAAATGGGGACAATAATTACTTCCTCAGGGGGCTATGATGAGGAACAGAGGACACATACATGGAAAGGTGCTTTGTGAACTGCAAAGGGCTATAGCCATATTCACTGATTTTAATATAATGTAATGCCACATAACCTCTACTCTCATGAGCAATGGCCAAATATTCGGAGCACCTCAGGTTACCAGAAGTAGATATTTGTCTGTCCATCCTCCAGAACATCATCTCTAAAACCTGAGAAAACTGAGGGGTCTCCTACAGAGGGATGACCAAATTCCAGGTTTTTCTTGGGGGAAGTTAGGCAAGGCTGTCAACTTGGATATCCTAGGTCTGATCTAATAAATCCTTGCTTTTTTTTTCTACCCACTTGACAGTTTGCCCTTCTTCCTAATAAATACCTATATTTGACTTCTGGCTGCTTTTCTGGCTTGCTTAACCCACAGTCTGTCAATATCATAACAGATGAGAGCAACAGTGTGTGGCCTCTAGGGAAAAGCTGTGTCTAAAAGCAAGGACTAACTGTACCCACCCACCTCCAGAGCCACCCTCTAACCGGACAAGAAGACAGCAGAACTGTATCTCTGCAGGAAGGTGGTATACACCTCGTGGAGTCTGGATGATAAGCTATGTTCAAATGTAGAAGGTATTTTTTTGGAGGGGGATGGAGGAAGAATATAAATATTTCACAGGCATGAAAACAGGGGATCCCAAGCGATACAATGGCTTTTCTTTTGGAACTAAAATATTTCTAATTCCTTTGGAAGACTATCTTCTACATTTAGAGACATTTTTTTTCATGAGGATATGTTCTACATTAATCTATGTAAAATATGTAGACTGGCTAACATCTAATCGGGGGAGTGCTTTGGAGAGCACAGCCTCTATCCCAGCTTAACAATCAATTGCTTAAAAATCTATTGCTTGAATCTATAGTAAGTCAGAGAACATATAACTCTACTTTGAGACTGAGAAAGGGAAAGAAAGGTTAGAAACATTCAACCTCTTATAAATTTCAACAGTTTCCAAAGAGGGACTAAAAATGACTGATGGTCACCAGAGTCCCAGCTCTAGCAATACTGCCATCTGTGTTACTCTATTTTAACCGATCCCCATATTTTCTTTTTACAACACCATTAACTGCTGTACAAATAAATTCTAGATGATAAAATATGACATGATTTTTTTTACAAATAGATACAAATACAATGTTGACCAGATATGCTACATTAACTATATACACCTTATTTCTCTAGAGGCAGGAAGAGACCTTATTTTTAGACAATGTACCATTTACACTGAGACCCTAAGGAGGACCATCAGCTTCCTACTCCCAGATGTTGCCTTCCTCTTTCTACCATTAGAAGCTTATTCTGTGCTTTGATCCTATCATTGAGCAAGAATTTGGGAAGGAAAAATCAAGCTTTTCTAAAGATCTTCTTGAGACTTTTCTGCCCCTTTTTTAAAACAGTCGAGATTGTTTATTGTGATACAGCCCAGACATTAAGCTTTCTTCAGTGATGCCTTTTAGCACAGTAAAAGGAATATCATCCCTGACTCTCCTTTTAAACAAGGTGTCTCAGGAATGGAGATGAAAAGTCTTCCAGCAGTCCGTCCCCCTCCACTTCCATCTTGTTTCCGCTGGTTTGGTGAACACTTCCCCAGGAGTCTGTTCGGAGGTCAGAGTAGATGTGGGCTGCACTGCAGGGTTCAGCCTTTCTATACTCCCATGTAGTTTGGTACAAAAATATACTTTACCACAAGTCCTTATTGACAGCGACTGCTTCAGATCTTCATGGGGGAAACTAAGAGTAATGGGCTAAGTGCATTACAAATTTGTACCTAAAAATTTCAGATGCACTCTACGCCTTTGCGTTCTCAGCAAACTCTACCCAGGCCTCATCTGGCCCAGGAGCTGATGTGGTCTTAGTGAGCACTGTGGTCTAACAATCCAGACAACGGTTCTAGCTCCTTAGGCTTTGTAGTTATGTATGGGTGTCGTCAGGGTCAGTTGCCCGTTGGGAGCTACTTCATTACCATCATCTTCCAAGAGTCCTGACACATCTGCATTGGGAATGCTGTCATGGTAGCTGCTGAAACTGATATTGTCTTCTTTCAGCTCGATGGTCCAAAAGGGAGCATTGAGTTTCCGGTTTTGGTACTCCCGGTACATATAGACAGCCCCCACAAATCCCATCAGCAGCACCACCACAATGATGATGACTGTCAAAATGATGATGTTAAACTGGGTCCATGAAACATCAGCTAATGCTGATGTGCTGTTTTCAGCAGAGCTTACTGAAAAGATAGTCTGCAGGATTGTGGGGGTAAATGTATTATTTATAACAGGGGTGGGCACTGATGTGGTCAAAGAGGCATTGGAAACCAAAATGGTAGAACCTTCAGGTGTTGGAACAATAACTTCTGAAAATAAAAACAGAGAATGAAATGTAAAAGATAAAATTATCTAGTTTTAAAAACAATAAAAGAAATACACATGGGAGTGGAAGTTGATATGGGATGTTGACATGATATTCTGCTTTAAGGTAATGCAAGTTAAAAATAATTTTTAAATAAATATAGTGAAAAGAATCAAGATCTAGAAAGCTAGATTATTACATCCATGGCTGTTCTCCAAAATGTATAATATTAAAATGTTCGAGAAAATTCTAATGTTGGAGTTTCCTATCCTTCTTGACTCTGGGATAGATTCATACCTCCTCCTGCAAAGGCAGTAAATATGTCACACTGAGTCCTGAATCACTTGGTTAAAAGTGACAGGGATAAAAAGGCAATTATCTGAACTAAAATCAGTTCCACGTGTCTGATGGCATTTCATAAGGGTGAAATTCTCTTCAAAGGAGGCAAAAACAGAATAAGGAAAATTGTATTTCTAGTTACTTCTGAAAAACACAATTTAAATGTCCAAAATTGATGTCAGCCAAGAGAAAACACAGCCTTCCTTTAATCATATGTGTAGTAATTCTTCCTTTGTGTATATCATAGATGATTTCATAATTAAAGTGCTAATGCAGCACAGCTGAGTAGAAATACCAAACTGTGTGGCTATAGATAAGTGAATCTTGTTAACATGGAGGCTCCCCATCTGTAAAATGGGAATGATAATACGTACTTTGCGGAGTTTCTGGGGAGGGTTAGCTGAGATAGTGCGCAATGGAGCATTACCACAGGTAGTGTTCCCAGGGCTTGGCCCATCGTAGGCACTCGATAAAATGGCTCCTGTTGTCATTCTAATTCATCACCACAGTCAGACACATTAATCTATCCCCAAAGGAGGCATGTTTTACATTACTTAGTAACTAATAAGAAAAATCATCACGATCCTGTCAGCTAAGTATGGATGAAGCATGCCTCCAAACGGGAAAGGGAAGTTAGTGACAGGATCTCCAGGCTAGTGACAGGGTTCAGCGTCCGTCTTTTAGCCTCGATCACAACAGAATAAGGATACCAAGGAAACGGCAGAGGGACGACACCTGCCATAGACCATCAGCCCAGTATTCAGCATCTGTCTGAACATCAGAGTGGTTTCTAGAAGAGGATGGTCTCATCACTCTGTGACCCAGTAAAGCCTGAGTATCTCTAACTCATCCTGAATTTCTAATCATTTATTTTTATCTAAACCTTTACCAACCTTTCCTGCAAGAAACATTTTGCCATATGAGTAACTTTTCCTTTTAAAAGTCAGAAGGAATATTACTACTCTTTCCTCCATCCCACGTGGGAAAACTCTGGCCCGAAGTTAGGACAGATGCCACGGTGGACTCTTGTTTCTCAGCTGGAACTTCCAACCAGATTACAGGACCTACTTCCAACGACCTCTGATGGTCACTGGAAGTGACAAGAATATAGGAAGCAAAGGATAAAAGAAATGATAGGACTTTTAAATCATTAACATAAAAATGAAAATAGATGAAGAGAAAATGTGGGAAGCCTGCAATGACTTTGTCGTGGGCCTCAGATTTCTGGAGTTGACTCTGGAGCAGCAGGAGAGCAGCAGGAATAGAAGGAGATCCCTTTAGGCAAATATCTATCAAAATCTATTTCCAGAAAACTCCTCTGGTGGGATCAGAAGGTTTTATAAAGCTAAAGATGGCTGTTCTGAAATTTTCACTGCTAGGCTTAGATATTAAATGTACCACCTTAGGTGAAGTGTTACCTTTCTTGATGCAATTTCCCTCGAGGTCTCGGGCAAAGCCTTCTAGGCAGTTCTCACACCAAAACCCAGTGGTGTTATGCAGGCAGCTGATGCATTCACCGCTCTCGGGCTTGCAGATCTTTGGAGCTGTAATTGGGTCCACGTGGCCATGGCATTGGCACTTGGTGCAGATGCTGTCAGAATTGTAATAGCCGTTTTCACACGTGTTGCAGTTCCGGCCCGTGTAACCCTCTTTACACTGGACACACCTAGGTTCCAATTCACCCAATTCTAAAAGGGAGAAAACACAGAAGAGACTCAGTACAGCCTCAAGCTACAGTGAAAAATGCAAGCCAACTACTAGTCCTCAAACCGGTTTTTAAACCCTCCCTGCGATCTCTTCTCCAACTTAAAGAGACTAATGATCTATACCTTATTTCTTAATTCTTAATTGTCCAGTTAATTGTAAAAATGATGGGGCCCTCCAGAGACTCTCTGCAGGTGGGAAACAAAAGAAATATGCTTACTCAAGGAATATGAGTAATTGTAATGATGAGGCACTCATAACTTTTTTATTTTATTGCTTCTTTAGTCGTGACAGACGGAATAAACAAGATTTTAACAAAAACTTCCTCATCTCTCCCTCGAGTCTCATTTCATATATGTATTTGGATTTGGTTGCAACTCTGTAGAAAGAAAAACCTTTGCTGTTTTTATAACTCCCTTTCACCTACTCACTCCACTCTCCTCTTGGCCCAGAACTTCATTTATCAACACACTTGATATCAATTGATAGCTGATTGCCTGGTTTTTCCTCTCAAAATGAAGACTTAGAGGAAGTCCTTACCTATGACACAGCTGCCCGTCGATGTCACAGCTGAACAAGGGCAGCGAAGACATTCTTTCGTGGCACCAGGACTCTGATAAAATCCTTCTTTGCATTCTTCACAGTGATTCCCTTTGCTATTTTCCTGGCAGTTTAAACAAGCACCTAAAAGAAGCAAATTATTTTAAGAAGTTAAAGATTTACTCTGAAAGCACAAAAGCTTTAAACAAATCATACATGCAACCAAAAGACTACAAGTTCACCAGAAGAAGTGGTCCGACAGGAATTAGATAGAGTTCAGTTTCTACTCCATTTTATCTCTACATTGGCCACGCCTGTGAGGTCTGTGTCCCCTTCTAGATTGTAAACTCTAGGGAAAGGCTGGGTACATGAGTAGAGTAGCAATAAGCCCAGGTTGATGGCTGACTACATACAGAAAGCAAGCCAACTATTTTCAAATTAAAAATAAAAACAATCTAAAGACCTACTTAAAAAAGAATAAATTATATACTATTTTCATAGTTGGGCTACTATAGTTAAAAAAGTGAACTAGACCTATATGTATGAACGTGCATAAATCTTGAAAACAATGTTGACTGAAAAAAAGCAAATTGGAGAATGATACAAAACAGATGGAGAGTACTTACTTATCTTGTAAAATTTTAAAAACCATCCTAAACAATACTAAGCAAATGGACACAGAATACACGAAGCAAATGGGTACATACATATGATATGCAGTAAAAATCAAATGTGGACTGAGGGGGCATAGGAAGATTTTATGCTCTGCTTATCTTTGTGGAGGGAAGAAGAAAAATGAGACTATGGAAAAAAAGAGAGGACTCCAACTGTATTTGAAATTTTCTATTTCAAACATATAACTGTATATAATATGTATAAATATTAGGCAAAATACCAAAACGTTAATATTTATTAATTCTATGTGTAGGTACATGAGTATGCGTTATATTATTCTCCATACATTTTTATATTAAAAAAATTCGAGATCAAAGTAAAAACAATTAATTAATAGGAGCACCTGGCTAGCTCAGTCAGTAGAACATGTGACTCTTGATCTCTGGGTTGTGAATTTGAGCCCCATGTTGGGTGTAGTGATTACTAAAAAAATAAACAAGTAAAAACTTAAAAAAACAATTAGTAGAGAAATGAAAAGGAAGGAGGAGAGCAAAGCGATGTGTTTGTAGTACCGCCCGTGTGGTACCCTATTAGTAAAGATATCGTACAGGCACTGAAGCAGCATAGTGTCTAAAAACAGAAAATGAAAAAGTGCAGTGTAATTAACATCCCTTCTTTAAGATGCCATAGAGACGCACAGGGACTCTTCGAACTGCTATTACAGGAATAAGTGAGAAAATGTGACATAGAAACCTAAGACAATGAAATTTTACATGATAAGCGAAACACCATTCAATGCTGAAACTATTCATAAACAGTTGTATTTGATTTCTTTTCCTTATGAGTGAAATATTTGAGAAAAAGGGGAGAGAGACTGAGGCTGTGAAATAAAATGGTCTGACAACTGGGGCAAACTTTGAAAAACCAAATAATGACAGTGTTATTAACACACATGGCACACCTCAATTTTTAAGTAATTACAACAGAATTCTCCCAAACTTCATAAACTGACGGGGAAAGACAGGTTCAAAAATTTATTACCTGAACACTTAACTTTGAACTAAATCAAACTCACATGAAAATGTCGCCTTCAATCATATAATTTTTTTAAAGATTATATTTCTAAGTAATCTCTACACCCAACATGGGGCTTGAACTCATGACCCCAAGATCGAGAGTCGCACGCTCTACTGACTGAGCCAGCCAGGCGCCCCAATCATATAACTTTTTAAGGCCTGTTAGTGTTAATGATACTTTTCACATATATAACAAAGTAGTAGTATATCCTCATACAATCATAAACACATTAGGTACTGATATCTTTCCACATCTCTTTATATTCTGATGCCTCTTTAGCTATGTATCTTTGTGACAATAAAAATAGCTAAAAAATACATAGTAAGAAACCCAAACTGCGGATTTTGGCTCTACAAATAAGATAATCTTTTGTTTGTTGTTTGTTTGGGGGGGGCGGGGGAGAGGGAGAGAGAGAATCTTAGGCAGGCTCCATGCCCAGCAAGGAGCCTAATGCAGGGCTCAGTCTCACAACCCTGAGATCATGACCTGAGCCAAAATCAAGAGTTGGACACTTAACCGACTGAGCCACCCAGGGGCCCCAACAAATAAGATAATCTTAAATGTTAAAGTGTTCTGCAGTGTGTAAAAATCAAAACCTGCATTATGTGTAAAATCTGGCCATGGGCTCGCCCCCTATTAAAAATGTGCAGTGGAAATAATTTTTAAGAAAACAAGTTCTGATAAAGTCCTGAACTTTAAAAATATCTCAAAAATGTTAATAGTCCTCTAACAGAATAAGGATGTTCGGGGAAAGATGTGTTCCAAGAACATGCCATTTGCATGTGACTAATGTGGCAAGAACAGGTCATATTGCTATTCTTATTTAAAAATGATAAATATATATACTGCCAATATTGTGCTTCTACAATGCTATTGGGCTTACATGCTTATTGTTTGGGGGCTTTTTACTATTTTAGATAAGATATCAAGCCTTGGTGCTTATCACAATATCATTCCGTTCTCTTAAACCATTTATATTAGAATATAAATTTTTCTAAGAAATTATAAAATTTATAACAATTAAACACTTTTTTCCAGAAGAATTTATTTCCATTTGTTTTATGCCATACCCTACAATGAGAAGTCAATGAGAAAAAAATAACCCTGTGTGGTAAATATGTTGTCTCAAAAGGAAAGATGAAAACAAGTCTAATAATAAGACTCATTACTCTACACTGCTTCAAAAATAGCACGCACCTGGAACACAGCCACTGAGAAAGAAAATTCATAAATTACAGACAGACAGACATAAATACAGCAGAGTGCTCACAGTAGCTGTGAGGGTAACAGTCCTTCTGGTTTCTCCCCTCTACTCTTCACGTGTCTCTGGTATACATGTATCCTTTTTTTTATTGTCTTGATTTTTTTCCTGATTACAAAGCTAATACATTATAAACTCTATTGCATGCGTATTATAAAAATATTTTAAGAACTCAAGCAAGTTTAAAACATTTCATGAGAAACTTGGAGGAAATGTTTTTATAATAACAATAAAGATCATAACCTTTCAAATCCACATCCAGTAGGAACTGATGGTGTGGATTTACCTTTCTAAAAGCTTATAAGCTCCTCTCCGGGAGACAAGAGAGCATAAGAAAACTGGTACAGTATTTAATGTCAGATCTGAGTCCTACTCCCAGCGGATCACTTACCAGTGATGGGACCTTCGGGAAATAACTTCTCTGGCTCTCACTTTTCTAATCTGTAAAGTGCAATAATTCTTGGGCTAATAATTTAATGTAACGTGAATATTTCAAAGGGTGAAAAACTATTCCATAAGACAAATGTTTTCTCTTTATGTTTTAATTTCCTCATCTATAAATTAAGAAAGCTGTGCTACATGAAATCTAAATTCCCATTAAAATCTAAAAGTTGAGGGTCTCTCTTTTATGATAAAAAGTATATATAAATTAGCTGAAGTTTAACTTTATTATGCTCTGCCTGGAACCTCCCAAAATACAATACTGTCTTAAAATTCACATTCTCTTTGCTGAAAGATGGCCAAAGGAGCGGATTACCAACTGGAAAAAAAAAAAAAAAAAAGAAAGAGTGTTTCCTGAAGATGACCTCATCATGCTCGCTGGCTAGGCAGCAAACTAATCTGGTAGGGGTAACCAAGAAAGCAACCAGTCAAAGAAAAGAATGCCGGGCTCCTTTCCAACCAAATTCAATGACAACGCTTTGAAAACATAAATCGCCACCTGTAAAAAGCCTTGTCCTTATTTATTTTGCCATTTCATAGTTTATATATAAACCTGTCAGAAATACGGCAATGTGCTTTGTTGTGGGAAGAAATGCCTGATCCTCCCTACAGGGCAGAAGGCAAACTTTAACCTGTCAAAAAGAAAGCAAGCCAAGCCTAAGTGAACAAGGGAGAGTAACAGAAGATAAGGTCAGAGAGAAAGGCAGGGGCCACAAAATGTAAAGTCATGCAGGCTATAGAAAGAAGTCTGAATTTTATTCCAAGAGGGATGGGAAGCCATCCGGGGGTTTAAGCATGGGAATGACATGATGTGGTTTTACGTTTTAAAAAGATCACTCTGATTGTTCCTTGGAGACTGGACTGTGGTGGGGCTCTGGGGTGAGAGAACAAGAGAGGAGGTAAGAGGAGATGAGAGGGGGTCACAGTAGTTCAGAGAGATGATGGGCTTGGACAAGGGTGACAGTAACAAAGGTCATAAACAGTGGTCAAATTCATGGTGTATTTTTTTTAATAATTTTTTATTGTTATGTTAATCACCATACATTACATCATTAGTTTTTGATGTAGTGTTCCATGATTCATCGTTTGTGCATAACACCCAGTGCTCCACGCAGAACGTGCCCTCTTTAATACCCGTCACCAGGCTAACCCATCCCCCCACCCCCCTCCCCTCTAGAACCTTCAGTTTGTTTCTCAGAGTCCATCGTCTCTCATGGTTTCACGGTGTATTTTGAATGCTGGGCTGATAGAACTTGCTGGTGGACTGGCTATTTGCAGTGAGGAAAAGAAAGGAACCAAATATGACTCCTAGGCATTTGGACTGAGCAACTGGCTGAACGGTGTCAGTCAACAAAATGAAGAACACTAGGAGTAAGGCAGGCTTGGCTTACAGGGTAGAGCTCTTTTGGATGTCTTAGAGTTCTGATGCCAGTTGAGGCATTCAGACGAAGATGTCCAATGGACTTTGGATCTTTGAGTGTGAGGATCAAGGGAGAAATGTAAATCTGGTAGTCAGTACAGACGTAGATGGCATTTTAAGTTAAATCCGGGGGACTGAATGAGATCACTTACGGGACAGTACAAATGAAGAAGACAAACATGTAAGATTTATTTATTTTAGAAAGAGAGAGACAGAGAGCATGCACACGGTGGGGGGAGGTGCAGAGGGAGAGGGAAAGAATCCTCAAACAGATTCCCCACTGAGTGTGGAGCATGACACAGGGCTCAATCCCAGGATCTTAAAATCATAACCTGAGCTGAAACCAAGAGTGTGACGCTTAACCGACCGAGCCACCCAGGTGCCCCAAGAGAAGCAAAAATAAATAAATCTTCAAAAAAAAAAAAAAAAGAAGTACACCATGTGAACATAAAGTTCTAGTTTGAAAAAAATAATAGTCTCCCCACCTCCATTTTAAAGTAAATATATACTCAATAAAGAAAATCTAGAAAATATGGGAAAGTAGAAGAAAAAAATTACCATAAGAAATCTGTCATTAAGATTTTGAATACTTTCCCTTGAAAACTTTCCTTATGTATATAAGTTTAAGTTTTGCTTTTCAAATAGTCTAAATATATGGCCATGTCATTTCACGCCCTGCTTTTTTCACTCTCTTACGTTGTTATATATACCACTCTTTAAAAAATTTTAATGACAGCTTAATAGTTGCCATTTATTGATTACACATAATGAGCCAGGCACTGTATTAAAGGCTTTATAAATATATTGCACTGAATCATCACAACAACCCATTAGACGGTTACTGTTATTATCTGCCTTTCTAGGTGAAGAAACAGGCTACGTAATTTGGCCAAAGTCAAGTCAAGATTGCACTTGCCATGCTCTTAACCACATACCACGTAGGTAACATAATTGGCTTCATTCTCTGTGGATAGAAATAGGGTTGTCTAATTTTTTAGAATCATAACTACCACCTTAGTAAGCCTCTTTGAACACAGAGCTTTTTATGAATTTAGAATTATTTCCTCAGAATAGATTTCTGGAAACAGAATTACTGGATCAAGGAGGTATTCTGAAGACTCCGATACACATTGTGAAACTGTTTTCCAAAGTGTTTTTCCCCAATATATTTTATCACAAAAAGGTCACTTTAAAATCTGTTTCATCTAAAACACAGAGTCTAGAAAAAGACTTACAGAAACGGGAAATGGAGAGACGTGAAAACATAGTAAGTGGCCACCAGAGGGCAGCCGTATCACAGCACTGTTGAAAAAAAATCTGAGACAAAAGGAAAGGCTGATTATATATTAAGCTTGCAGGTTTCAATTAAGTACTTGCATCCCTTCATGTTGAATTCCACTTTTATTATATTTCCAAACAGAGAAACCATCTATTTCTCTTATTACTAGCTGCTTTTAGAAATCGTAACCATGGAAAGGCTATCTTTTGCCTTAAATTATCTTGAGCAAGGACAGGTTGGGATTTACTTGACGTTAAAGACATCTACTTCATTGCTGCAAGAAAAACTAGCAGTGAGAACCAGCAGTGTAGACTGCTTTCTTACTGTACAAGACCTGGGGAGAAATGTAAATCAACTCAGTATGATGAAGCATTCCTGTCCTTAACCAGGATTGAAATTTATCTTTCCTCTGTGTGTTTTTTCATTCATTTGTTCATTTACCTAACAGACATTTAGTGAGTACTGACTGCATGCCAAGCTCCATACTAGAGATTGTGTACAATGATGAACAAAACTGATATTGCCCCTGCCCTCATGGAACTTACAATATAGTGAGTAAGCCACACATGACTCATAATCATAAATAAATACATAATTATAAAATACGGTAGGTACTGTGACAAAAAATACAAGTGCATATGACAGTGCATAATTGGGAATTGTCATTCAGCCTGGAGTATCAGGAACTGCTTTCCAAAGTAGTAAACTTTAACTGAAGGCCTGAAGGAAAAATAATGATTTAATAAGGTAAAGGGGCTAGCGGTGGGATAGTGGATATTAGAAAGACCATTCTAGGCAGAGCAAAGATCAAGTATGTAAACCTTAAGACAAGGAAAGATAGCTTGTTTTACGGATAGAAGCCAGTATCACTGGATCACAGGCAGTAGAGAAAAAAAATAGCACAAGAGAGATCCAGTAAGTAGCCAGGGACCAGATCACATAACAGAAAAAATTAACACGATTTCTCCTAAATCAATTTTTTTCACCATGGACTAGAGGAGTAAAACGAAGAATTTCAAATACTTTCCAGGGTACTTTCAAGTACTCTGCTACCCTGCTCTCATAAAAACACTTGTACTTGTCAGACTAGTTTGTCCTGACTTTTCTGTTGGGGAAAAAAGATTTCCAAGGAAGGATTTCTAATCCTTACATTTAGGAAAACTGACCATCGGAAGAGTTCCTTGTCTTTAGCTTCTAATAGTTTGTCTCAATACGGTCTTTGTTTTATACTGCCTGGGGTTTGCTGAGCTTTTGGAATCGGTGGGCTGATGTCTTTCACCAGTTTGGAAAATTCTTGGCCATTATCTCTTCAAATTTTGCTTCTGCCCCAATCTCTCTCTCCTTTCTCTCTGAGTCTCCAACTACATTTACGTTAGTCTTTTGGGCTGTGTCCTACATGTCTTTCCTGCTCTGTTCTTTCCATTGCATTTTTTCCCCTCTGTGCTTCAGTTGGATATTTTTAACTGAGCTGTATTCAAGTCTACTCATCTTATCTTCACTGTGAATAATCTTTTGTGAAACCCATGTAATTAGTTATTCATTTCAGATGCTATATTTTTCAGTCCTAGACTGACCTTTTGATTTTTTACAGATTCCAATTTTCTTGAAATTTGCCTTTTTACCTATTTTCTGGGTTTTCCTCTATTTCCTTAAAGCATTAATTTTAGTTATTTTAAAGGCATCGTTTGCTAACTCTAACATCTGGATCATCTCTGGGTCTGCTTCCATTTTTTCTTTTTTCCCTTTATTACTGGTCACATTTCCCCTCCTCAGCATTGTCTAGTATTTTTGATTGTATGCCAGATGCAGTGTATAAAAGAACCACAGATGACTCCTCTTTTCTCTGTTAGGCAGATATAATGAGAGAATCGCCTCAATCCAATTCAAAATTGAGATGGGTTGGCGATGGACTGCAATTTTAGTATGAGTCAGTTCACCTATGGTTCATCACTATTTCCTGGTCATGGCCCTCTAATGCTTTTGATTACGAGCCTAGTATCCCTGAGTTTCCTCAGCCCTGAAAGACTACAACAGACTCAGTACTGCCCTTTGGTGGTTTCAGCCCAGGTCCCACTCCACACACTTCAGAACCTGGCAGTGTCTTGAGAGAGAGATGGTGGGATATGGTAGCAGAGCCCCTTTCAAAAGGGATTTTGTCTCCTAAGCACCACAAGACTGAGAGACTTCTTTATACCTATTGGGCCAGCCTTTCATCTCTTGCACAATCAGCTAATGTCCTATGAGAAAACTGGCCTTGTGTTTAGGGCTCTTCTAGTTTCCAATCCATCATACAAGTCCCAAACAACTGCCAAAAACTCTTCTTGTATCTCTTTCCTCAAGAAGAATTCCTTTGCGGGGTGCCTGAGTGGCTCAGTTGGTTAGGCGACTGCCTTCGGCTCAGGTCATGATCCTGGAGTTCCAAGATCGAGTCCCGCATCAGGCTCCCTGCTCAGCAGGGAGTCTGCTTCTCCCTCTAACCCTCCCTCCTCTCATGTGCTCTCTCTCTCTCTCATTCTCTCAAATAAATAAATAAAATCTTTAAAAAAAAAAAATTCCTTTGCTTGGGCTAAATCTACTCCTTAGCCTATGACCAGAATCAGCAAATGTCCCCTGGAAATAAAATGGTTGATGATCATCCACTTACTTAGGAAGAGTTCTACCCTTTCTGGAATTTTAGTTCATACAGTCTTCTTTGCTTCCATAGTTCTCCAACCAAGATGATTTTTGAAATTTATGAAAAGAATAAAAGACTAATTACATGACAAAGTTAAGGAAAGCGTGTACCTGTGAGGGCATCACAACTGGCAGACCGATTATTACATCGGCAGGGCAAGCAGCCACTCTTACTAAAGTCATAATATCCATCTTGGCATCGATCACATGTAGAGCCGGTGACACCCACTTTGCACTGGCATTTCCCAGAACTGCAAATAAAAGCAAAGACAATGAACAAAGTAAATGAGTTTGAAAGTTTTGTTGCCTAACATCCCATCATAGATGATCTTAATGTAGAAATAGTTTCAACTAGATTCTAATCACTAGAATTATTGTGATTATTTTTTGAATTGTAAGTTGAACAACTTCATGACTATAAACATTCAATTGACATACGAACACTAATCATTTGTGACAATTTAATCCTCTGCACTTAGGTAGTTTAAAATAATTGATAATGGAGCCATGGAGAACATAAGTCCCCAGTGCTTAGAAATCTTTGTTTACTAAGCAGTGGGGCATAGAACTGGTACCACTGCTACATCTCATTCCTGGATCATTCCACAGTTCCATCAGCATCCACCCTGCCCAATATGGAGAAGAGAAGAAACTCCACCTAGTCTTCATCCAACCTAGCTTCTGGCTGAAGAATATGAAGATCAAGATCTTAATGAATGTGTCAATTAATATCCATTTAGATGCTGAAAATGATATAATTTTCTACTTTAGGTCCAGGCTATATTAAAATCATATTTCTGGTAATTAAACTGGAATTCACAATTAAGTAAATATGACTATAAGGGGGACCTCTATTGCTTTCTGGATTAAATCCATATAAAACTCTAGACTGTCAACCCAAAAAGAAGTCTAAAATCTAAAGTAAGAAAAATAGGAGTGCCTGGCTGGCTCAGTCAGTAGAGCGTGTGACCCTGATCTTGGGGTTGTAGGTTCGAGCCCATGTTGGGTATAGAGATTACTTAAAAGTAAAATCTTTAGGGGCGACTGGGTGGCTCAGTCATTAAGTGTCTGCCTTCAGCTCAGGTGGTGATCCCAGGGTCCTGGGATGGAGCCCTGCATCGGGCTCCCTGCTCAGCGGGAGGCCTGCTTCTCCCTCTCCCACTCCCCCTGCTTGTGTTCCATCTCTCTCTGATAAATAAAATCTTTAAAAAAAATAAAATAAAATCTTTAAAAACAAAGAAAGAAAGAAAAATATTTTATTTAACAATGTGACTCTTCTTTATATGCTTATTCTGAACCTGAAATTTTTAGACTTCACCTGAGCATATCATGGCACCAGTCATATTGGATGGGAGACAATTTAAGGTAAAACTGCTTTTCAATATAATATTTTTTAGAGATTCAGCTCCTAATAATGAGCCCCCATGGGACTGATAATTTTAGTTCAAGAACCCAAGCTCATTATTAATACTTACACAGCTCTTACACATATCAGTTAAAGTAATCCCCTTCTAATTCCCATATTCCTATTTCTACAATAAAAACAGAAGTTCCAAATTTGAGAGTTACTAGAATTTTCAGTTGAATTCTGCAGAACGGAAGTAAAGCAACTTTCAACCATGTGTATTCTTGTAGTGTACAAACCTAAGGATTTTATTTTTTTATTTTTTTGAGATATGCCTCTCTTTTTCATCAGCATCCCCTGGGCTAAATAATGAGGTCTACATCCTCCATCCCTAAAAACTATTTTCAGCAGCTAGAGTCAAAGTTTACTTCTCTCTCCTACTTACAGTTCTCTGCACTATCCTAGGCTATGCCAAAAAGGAGTGGAAAAGTAGAAAAACAGTTCAACATGGAATATTTTTAGGGCTTTACTCAAACAAAATCAGTCCAGAAGGGAAAGGAAGCCAGGCTTCTGTAAATAATATATACTTTACATATTTCAAAGTCTTGTATCCTGAGCAGCCACCCATAGACCTCTGTATTCCTATCCCGAAGATGTCTAGTATAGTAGGTTCCACGTTGCTTGACTAACAAGCAGTTCTACAGAAAACGTAAAACAGAGCCATCTGAAAGCAGCAGTGTTGCTGTTGTTGATGCTGAAGACAGTAATGAGCCACCACTTACTGAGGGCCTATGTCAGTAAATATGGATATGCTCTCTAATCCTCAAAATAGCCCTACTAAGTGAAGTCCTAATCCTCATTTTACTATTGAAGGAAATCAGAGAGGTTAAAGTTATTGTCCACACCTAGTAAGTCAGGCCGATTTATACAAAGCCAGACTTTTCCTACTATACCATGGCACCTACCACTCCCTAAGTCTGAATCTAAATTTGCACAAGAAATTTGCATGCCAAATAACTTGATACCTACTTCGGTATCAAGCTTCATTCGGTAGATTCCAAGAACCACAATTCACCATTTATTTAGGTTCTCGCCCCAGTGAGCTGTTTCTGCCTTGCCCAGAATAAACTCCACCTAAGAAAAGTGGTCTCTTTTCTTACTGCCAGTAAATCTCAGGTCTTCCTTAACAAAAGCTAAGAGTTCTCACTGCTTGAAGAGAAACTGCAGCCTAGCCAAGTCCAAGGTTCCCAGAGATGCAAGCCCAAATATTTTGATGCTTAAAGCTTAGTTAAAATTTGTACTGATCATAGTGAAGAAGATGAGCCTTGATTTTAAATATGCAACAGAAATGTACATTACCAAGCATGTCTCTTAAGTAACTTCACAAAAAAAAAAAAACACAAACGAAAAAACCCAATACACATAAGCTTACACAGTCTTACACAAGAATATCCCAAGGTACTTAAAAATCTAGCAAAGTAAATCTGTATTCATCAAATATGAAATTCAGGAACATGTTATTACTGAACAAGAAGGAACTAGTCAACCTAAATCTCACTGAACTGTCAGAAAATTATAAAGGATATAATTGCCTTCCTAAGAATTGCTAACAACATTTTATTAGCCAATTTCTAAGGCTTTTAAAATGTTAATCAAACTATGCTTGCTCCTCGTTTCTCTATTGGCAGATTATTCAGTAAACAGAAGAATAGTTACTTTTAATGACAATGTTTGCCGAACTCACCAACCTACAAGAAAAGGATATTATCTTGGAATATCTTATCACTTCATAATATCTCATAATCATAATATAGTCAGTGTTCTCAAAGTAGTTGCTATTCCTGGAAGTGGACTTTCCCTTCATAATTCTGCTCTGCATACTCAAAAGACTGATTTAAGCAGGCATCTTTCTCCCTGGAGAATATGTTCCTTCGTTGCTGATGTAAAAATAAAAACCCCACAAGTGGCTTTATGAATCCTGATAAAGTGATTGACTAGCCTAGATAGCATGCTTCACTTTTCCTGGGTAGATTTTAACTTCTTTTTTTTTTTCCCCTTTAAATTTTTCCTGGGTAAATTTTAAAACAACAGGGAAGGAGGTGCTTTCTCTCCCCCTGTCTTTTTTTTTTAAATACAGCAAAGAGTGGGAAAGTTTGCTGTGAGGCCGCACTAGTAGTGCTCTCCATGTTACACACGGCCCATTGCCAACTTGGGAATGTGTAAGAATTAAATCACTCAGCAAATATAAAGCTCTCCCTGTGTGACTTATTTTACAGAACAAAGCCTTTACAACACCGCTTTTCATGGTCTCCCTCTGTTAAAGACTGTTGAATGCTTTTTGAAGCAAAGGTCAATGATATAAATGCAATGAAATCAAAGACAGAAAAAAAAAAGTCCTGTTAACAGACCACTTAATGCTTATCCATAGGTTTGAAATGAAAGAACCAAAGACTCATAGCTTCATATCTGGAAAATAAGGGTACAAAACTAGATTTTGAACAGAAGTCAGAAATCTATACTACTGAGATCAACTAAGATAAACTAAGATAGAATTTGCTCATCTGGTGTCACTTTTTATAGACATGAGTTAGTTACTAGGAGAATTATATCAGAAAGAAGAATATAGTTATTTATAAAGGAAGCATAAGTATTGTGCAACTAAGCCATACTAAGTATAATGAAGTATATACTATACTATACATTTCTTAAATTATCCCAAATAGGATTCTCAGATTTTCTTACAGTGTCAGGTGCTTAGTTATAGAATTTATCACACTCATAAGTGTGAACCACTATTACAAGGTTTGAACACTTAAAAATGATCTCTTAAGGGGTACTTGGCTGGCTCAGTCAGAAGAGCGTGCAACTCTTGATCTCAGGGTCATGAGTTCAAGCCCCACATTGGGTGTAGCGATTACTTAAATAAATAAAACTTTTTAAAAACTCTCTCTTAAAACATGAATAATATATTTTCTGACATGAAGTCATTAATTTTTCAAAAGGGAATTCAATGGTGTATCATATTTCAAGATATGGCACATATTTATGTCATACAAGTACTAAACAAAATGTCTTTTTTAAAAGGTTCTGATCTGTTTAGATGAGTAGATGGAGAATCTCCAGAATTTCCATTATTTTATAACAGCATTGACTAGGGTGGGAAGGGTGGAACACAGGAAGGAAGGTATCAGGGTCTATGGAAAATTCATAGCCTAAGGAGACAGAGAGCTTGGTTCATATTCCAGCTCTGCTAGTAACTAGCTGGGACCAAGTGCTTATTCAATCTTAGACTCAGTATTCTCATTTGTAAAATGAAGACAATTATACCAAACTTTGTAGGATTACTGTGAAAATTAAAGATTACATACCCAGGGTACTCAGCATAGCATCTGGCATGTGATCAATACCCAAGAATAAAAGAATTATGAAGATGATGACAGTAATCCTAGATCTTGAATTTTTTCTGAGAATTATAAAGAAAATGGGCTGGACTCTCTAACAGGCAAAGGCAGACAAGGCTAAGTTATTTACTTTTAAAATTTTCTTAACAAACCTAGAGAAATTGCAAGAATTTATGGGGGTAATTGCTAATTTGGAGCAAAAAGGTGGCTAGGAAAAGACAGTACATTATGAAAACCTGGTAGAAATGGTTTGGGGGAAAAAAATTCTAAAATTGAGAAGGGAGGGACACCTGGGTGACTCAGTCAGTTAAGCATCTGACTTCGGCTGGGGTCCTGATCTCGGAGTCCTCTCAGAGTCTGGGATTGAGCCCTGTGTTGGGCTCCAGGCTTAGTGGTGGGGGAAGGGTGGCGATCTGCTTGTCCCTTCCCCTCTCCCTTGGCCCTCTTCCTCCACTCATGTGTGCGTGCACTCTCTCTCAAATGAATGAATAAAAGCCTACATAAC